GGGCAGCAGTGAGTCGGGGGAGAGGTCTCCACCAGGGGCCTGAGGTCTGTCCTAACCCTAAGACCAAATCTGGACACAGTGGGGAGAGGCCTGGAAGTGGGAAGGACCAGGGTAGCAATACAACAGGGCCGTTTCCAAGGGTAGAGTTCAAACCTTTTGGGGCTACCCCTGCCTTCCCATAAACCTGCCAGCACCCTGCCCTCCCACTGCACCCCAGAGGCTGACAGACTCTAGATTTCCTAGGCGCCCAGACCAGTTGACATGAGCTTGCCTGTTACTCCCAGGTTCACCCTGGGAATCCCTTGTACCCCGTCTGTCCTCTGCATCTCTTATTTCAGAAAATGGTTCCCTCATCCCTACCAAGGCCAGGCCATATTCTCAAGGCCAGGCTTCCTTCACATTTATAAAGGTTTCCTACTTTGTTAAGTGCATTACATTTCTGAGTTCTCCCACCTTCACACACATCTTGAGAACTTACTCGAAAATCCCTGAATCTTCACCCGCTCTCCTAATTCCTGTCTTTTTCTCCATTCTTCTCACCTCATCCCTCCCAAAATACCAATAGATACCCACGTTCAGCCTTGGTGACCCTCTACAGCCTGTATTCTCTCAACAGTTGTGCTCCTGGAAAACACAGTAGAAATTGCAGCTTCCTGGGGTCACTCCCTGGCCCCTTCTCTAAAGGAAGTCACGCTGAGACCCCTCCCGGAAGCTCTCCCACCCCATTCCTGGCTTCCTCTCCAGAGCCTGCCTTCTGTGTGGCTTCCTACTCTTCCTACCACCTCCTGTAAGTGCTCCTGCTCCCCAGCCCTGTCACCTCTGGCAACTCATCCAGTCTCGGGACTGCATGTATCCTTTCCGAACCCAAACAGGGCCAGTGTCCTCATCCCCAGTCCGAGTCGCTCCAGCGTACAGCCCTGCCCTGTGCGTTTGCTCTCCCAGGGCATCTCGACTGCCCAAAGCCCACCTCCTACCAGCCTGGCTCCTCACACAGATTGTTCAAGGTGCACCCAAAGCAGTGCGGGGTTGCGGGGCGGGGGCTCAGACTTGCTTCTGTTCAGGGTCACCTTGCAGCAGTGAGTGGTTTCTTCTCAGTGAGCCAAGGAAGGAAGCACTCTCTGCTACTCACACCGTGCTGTAACCATCACTCGGAGCAACATGAAGATTCTTCTTTTCAGCCTTTCTCCTAGACAGCAGCATCTCCAGTTCCAGAGCTCTGAGGCTGCTCCCTTCTTCAGGAGCCTTGGCAGCTGCACTCCCTTCCTGGCCAGGCCAGTCATTCTGGGCACTGCTGTGTCTGCTCCTGTCCGCCGCAGTCCAACAGAGCGCGTGGTGGCTCCCTGATGCCTATCAGCCGATGCAGTATCCAAGCTACCTTAGATTCATGGCCCCGTGGCCTCCGCAATTGCTCCTTCCCTTCACAGCTGACCCCACTGGGCCACTTGAGTCTGAAGAGGTTCGGGTTCCGTGCATTTACCCAGGAGCTCCTCACTTCCTATTTTTCTTTCCACCTCCCTAAGCCTTGCCCATCCTGTGTCCTGAGTCTTGGAGGCTTTTCTGATTCCTAACCCTCTTGCAGTGATTTTTCCAGTTTGTTGTGCATGTGCACTGGAATATTGCCTTAGGTCTCTTTCCACTTCCTAACTGCAGCATAACTGCCCCTTCTATCTAGGACCCCTTCTAGAACAAATACAGGGCTTTTCATGTCAGAGCCACGCGAATATGCACAGAGTACATCTGGGCCTTCCTGAGCTTGTTTCCCTCATCTGTAACAAGAACTTAATTCCTCACAGGACTGTCACTGAGGATATTAAATGCAGTAACAAGTGATAACATCAAGCAGTGTCTGGCACAGAGCGGAAACTCAAAAAACAGTGGCTGAGCTGAGCATGGTGATGCACATCTATAATATCAGCACTCAGGAGGCTGAGACAGGAGGATTGCCATGACTACACAGTGAGACCGTCTAAAAAAAAATGACTGAATCATGGCCTGGACTTTAATGTCAGTTTGATGTAATAGTGATTATTTTTTAAATTTTAGATAAAACCAAATTATATCTTCTTGTGAATAAACTTCTTTTTGTGGTGCTGGGAATCAAACCTAGTCTTATATATGCTAAACAAACATCATTTCCCTGAGCTACATCCCCAGGCTTAGTAGACTGTTTTTTTTTGTTTTGTTTTTTAGACAGGGTCTCACTCTATAGTTCAGGCTGGTCTTGAACTCCCAGTGATCCTCTTGCCTCAGCCTCCTTCGTGCTGGGACTATAGGTGTGCACTGACACAGCCAGCTAGAATTATGTAATCTTAAGGCTTCCCCCTTTCCACCTTTGGCTTTCAGGAAGCTTAGGACAAGGTTTTACACTGAGCTGCAGATCTCCTTGCTGACTTCAGGAGGCAATATTGTTTGGGGAACGAACAGGTGTCCTGGGGCCACATAACATGGGCTGTAGCACTCTTGAATAACTTGCTAGGACTCTTGCCCTTAGTTGCTCACTTATGGAAGGGCTATGATGAGAAAACACATTTAAAATATTCTGTAAATTACAAAAAAATGTCATCTTAAAGTTGCTGATTGGCAGTCTAGGTTTTCTGATACAATTATTTTCCTTCACAATACTTGCATTTATCTTTCCAGAAATTTTGTTTTCTTGAGATAGGGCCTCTTGAGTGCTGGGATTACAGGTGTGCACCATGACCAGCTTCAAAGTTTAATAGTTTTCTTATAACTGTTTCTGCGGTGATCTTTTCTGATGTATAGAGAGGACAAACACATGACAAGATCACTCATAAAGCACAATCTCCCTGGGAGTAAGATGCCATGCTCTTTACTTGTATAACAACTTACTTTAGAAAGATATTGAGCTGGAGCTTTTGGTTTTGGGTCCCGTGCTAAGGCCAAAGGAGGAGTTTAATATGTTAGCATTACTTTTCTTTCTCTTTTGGGATACTGGGGATTGAGCCAAGTGTGCTGCAAGTACTAGGAAAGTGCTCCCAAGCCCATTTATTTGAGACAGGGTCTCCTTAAGTTGCCCAGACTGGCCTCAAATTTGTGATCCTCCTGCCTCAGCCTCCTGAGAAGCTAGGATTACAGGCATATGCCATATACCCAGCTTAGTAGTACTGTTAAAATAAGCTGAATTGTAGGTCAGTTGGAGGATGACCCCCAAAAGAGGCTTTTTTTGTTGGGCTTGTCCTAATGAGTGATAATTCAGGCACTTATTCTCTCATTTTAAAAAGTATACACATAGTCGGGTGCGGTGGCACATGCCTGTAAACCCAGCACTCAGGAGGCTGAGGCAGGAGGATTGCTGTGACTTCGAGACCAGCCTGGGCATAGTGAGTTCCAGGTTAGTATCAACTACATAGTGAGACCCTGTCTCAAAAAAACAAAAACAAAAACAAAAAGTACACACAGATGCCAGCTGTGAGCCAAGCACTCTGCTGGATGCTGGGAAAACAAAGGTGACCCACAATACGGTATTTGCTCAGAAAGGAAGCAGCTCACAGTGCAACACGGGAGGCAGGCATGTGGAAGGAAAAAAAATCTGAGGCTCTAAGTGACCAGAGTACAGTGCAAGGAGCACCATGGACAGCGGGGGACATGTGGGGGCAAAGGAGTCACGTCTGAGGGAGCCTGGGATCTCTCTTCAGTCAGCAGCAGGCAGCACGTGGTCCAGGTAAAGGTCACACCGTGTGGTCCCTTCGGGTAACTCAAAGGGCTTCAGTTTGCTCAGGGAGGAAATGGGCAAGAGACCCACAAACACAGGCTGGGATGGAGGCAGGGGAGAAGAGCCTGTAGCAACCAAGGAACCTAGAGAGGGACTGGCGTGGCCAGTGAAAGATGCTGATGGCCAGGAAGTGAGGGCTTTGACACATCACAGATTCTACCTGGCTCTTTGAAGTGTGGCTCCAGGTCACAAGTTGCTGTATCTGATGATCACTGAATCCTGTGCAGGCAAGGACCATCCACTTGCTGCTGAGGGACCCATCTAGGGCCTGCATGAGTATCCAACTCAGATGTCGAGCAGAGCAGTCAAGTTTTGGACCAGAGCTGGCCCAGATGACCTTTAAAGCTCCTTCCAAATCTGAGGTTCCAGGATTCTAAAGCAAGCCCGGTAGCTAAACTGGTGCTAAGGGCTGGGCTCTGTGGCTGGTGAGCTGCCCTGGGCAGCAAATGGGTTAACGCTCAAATAACTTTTATATATGAATTAATGTGCAGAGCTGGGAGCCAAAATCTGTTCCATTAATTTTTCCATCCATTCCAGGAGCAGTTAGGTACACACAGTAAAGTTTATTTTGGTGCATGGTATACTTCACTCCATTAAAAATAAATTAATCAGCAAATTCCTGCCTGGCTTGGCTCTGGTTTATGTAAATAGTGCCCAGCTGTAATGAGTTACAAGGTGTTATTATCTCACACACACAGAGGAGGCTTCACTCTAGAGCTCCGCTTGCAACAAAGCATCTTAAATAAACCGAGAGAAGGTGGTTTGATTTGTAGTATTTTCACAGAAGTGGGATATACCTCACCCGTATAGAGTTTCTTTATATGACTCATTTTATAGCAAGTTCGATGAAGGAAGTATGATGGGGGAGGGAGGGGAAAGATGGTTCCCCACCCCCTTACTTCAATTTAAAAAAAATCCCCTAAGAGATGACCCACACTCCAAGGGAGGAGGGAACCGGTCCTCCAGTGCTTGGCCACATGGCTCTGCAGCATGGACTCCAGAAGCTGGGAAGCCGGCAGAAAGCTGGGCACGGGGCTAGGTCCTGGGGTGCTATAACTAAGCCAAGAAGAATGTTCTTCTCATATAAGGGAAGGCCAACAGAGAAAAAGGAATACGTCCCTCACCAATTCACTGGGGGGTAACGAAAGGACCTCTCTTTGTTCTTGAGGCTTTTTTTTTTTAAGTTTTCTGAGACAGGGTCTCACTGTATAGCTGAGACTGACCTGAAACTCACTATGTAGCCCAGGCTGGTCTCAAACTCACAGAGATCCTCCTGCCTCAGCCTCCCGAGTGCTGGGATTACAGTGGTGCACCACCACGCCCAGCCCTGAGGCTTCCTTCTAAATGACAAGCCCTTGGACATCAGAGGCATCTGGGGCACCAGAGGATGGGCCTGGCAGGCTGTGCCTTGGCCAGACAGTGACACATCTCATAAACAGAAGGCAAAAGCAACAACAGAGACCCTGACCTTTCCCCTTTCACTGTCTCTGAGCTGGGAAGTGCTCCTTAGCTTCTGGCAGCCACGATCTCACAAAAGTTCCTAAAAAGTCTCTAGAATAAAGAAAAGCCATGACAGAGATAAGTCTGTTTTTTTTAATGGCCAACTCAATCGCAAGATTCAAAGCCAGGGACAGAGTGTGGCTACCCGTCTTGACTTGGCAGCATTACAAACAGCTCCTAGGTCACAGCAGGACTTGGGGCAGGGGCATGATGACAACCCCTTTCTTACCCCTGTACACCTTCCTTTAGGAAAAGCTGCTGGAGGGATTTGGGGAGCTTGTGCTAGGGGCTCTTACTTGGGGCTCCTCTATTGTTTTTGTTACTGTTTTTGCAGTATTGTAGATTGAACCATGGGCTTTTGCACTGATATATCCCCAGCCCTGTTATTTGAGACAGGGTCTCACTAAGTTATCCAGGCTGGGCTTGAACTTGCAATCCTCCTGCCTCAGCCTCCCAGAGTGCTGGGATTACAGGTGTGCACCACCAAGATCAGCTTTACGGGCTCCTCTTGTGGGAGGCAATACCTCAGAAGATCTAGAGGTTCTCTCAGCATTATACCCCCACCAGATCAGACTCCTGGGCACACACACTAATAGGAAAATCAACACAAATGGGCCCGGTATTTGACAGATGTTGTTTAAAGGTCAGTTCAGGCCACTTTCTTGCAGGGTCCTGGACCAACCAAGCACGTCTCTTGCCATAGTTCCTCAAAGCCACCTAGCCAGCAGCCTGGAAGGACCAGCCCCTCAAAGACCCTCATCATTATAAGTAGGGGTGTGGGGCTTCAAGATGCTCTGAGGATTCTTCTCCACCAGAGGGCGCCAGCTCACTTCTCCGGTCAGAAGCAGATCCTCGCCATTCATGGAGTCCAGATACTGTATCTGCAGGGAACAGAGGAAAAGATGGGGCAAAACGTATGCGAGACAATGAAAAGAACCAGCTTCCCCAACAAGAGGATGGGAGAGGGAGCTGAGGAGCTTCTGACCATCCAGGTCTCAGGCCAGGCTCTCTGATCTCCAGGTTATTTTATTAAGAATATCTGAGGAAACAGTCACTGGGGAAGGTTTTAGGGAATTCCTTATGACAACTGTATGGACACACACGCGCGCGCGCGCGCGCACACACACACACACACACACACACTTTTTTCTCTCCTTGATACATCCTCCCTGCAGAGTTCCTGCAGGTCAGGAAGTCAGAGCTTGTGATTTACAAAAGTCACCTTGTCCACCCACATCCGATTCTACTGGGAGAAAGAATCTCAACTCTGTTCCTTCCTAGTTACCCAATGTGACTACTTCCCTTTTCTCAGATAGGGTACCTTTGTCTGACAGAATAGAAATGTGTGCCTCATGGGATGTAAAGATTAAGTAAGGCACACGCACAGTGCTGGTCACTCACATGAGCTTTCCCTAACATGGATACCTCCACTGTCCTCCAGGAGGCCCTGATGCTGGCCAGTGGGTCCAGCTTCCCTGCTACAGGATGACTGAGAGGGAAACGGCAGCTCTACTGTTGAAGTGGTCATCAACAGTCTCCTACGACTGTCATCACTGACCCTTGGTGTTCCCACTGGAACCAGGGGAACCAAGTGCCATATACTGCTGCTTACTGCAACTGTCAGCTGCTCTAACATCTGGAGACAGCAATCATGTCCCTTCTGGGTTTTCTATCATTTCTGCCTCCAGCCTATTTGGCATGGAGATGGTGAGATCCAGATGCCACTGCCCTGGGCAATGCTAGGCCTCTGGATGCTCTCAGACCTGCCCAGAAATCTAGGTGTACAGCATGGAGAAGGGACACCTATGAACACAGGCAAATGGGAGCAAGAGAAAGGAGTCTCAGAAGATGAAGGCAGCTCTGGGAGGATTCCTCAGGCCACCTGCTAGGACAGAGGACAGTAGAGGAGAAATGCTTTCAAGTGGACAGGCCACATTTCCAGGGAAAACTGGACCAGAGCAGGAGGTAGTACTGGACCTAGAAAGATGAGGTTCCCTCAGGGGAGACAGAAAGATCAGAGGCTTCATTTTAGGCTTTGGATCAGTCCCTTCTTCCAAGAACTAATCTCACTTATTGCTCCATCTTTAGACTGCTGACCTCTGACATCAATCTCAGCCTCTCACAGGTCGAGTCCCATGTTCCCTATGTCTCTTCAGGGCAAGAAGCTCAACCATAGTATCTTCCCTAAAACCCATTCCCCTTCCCAGCAATTTATCCTAACACCACCACTCTGCCCATTTCCTTGGCTGTAAACCTCAACGTAGCCTGGGAGTGGTTATCAGGCAGCACCAAGCTCAAGGCCCAGCTTCCTGGTCTACCCTAATCCACTCAGTCAAAACGCAACTCTTTCCCCACCTTGCCCAGTGTCTACCTTACTCCAGGGCTGGCTGTGTGCCTACCTGGCTCCTTGATGCGAGACTGGGCCTCATCAGTCTCTGCTCTCCCGGCACAGGGCTGGGGATAGCAGGTTTGCTGCTAGAACAGGGTACCCATCAAAGCGACCTGCTTTCCTAAAAGCCTCATCACTGTTTGTCTGGCTTTCACCAGGGTCACATGAGTCTTACAGAAACATTAACTGTGGCAGGCTCTACCTTTTGGAACCCTGGAGGGGTCCCAGCTGAGTCTTGTGGCCTCGGGCACAAGCCGATCATAGCAGATGGAAAAGTTGGGTGGGTTTCTGAGAAAATAGCATTTGATTTGCCATCTGCTTCTCTGAGGGCAAGTCCTGTCAACAGTGTGTCTCAGAATTCTCTGTGGGTGGGGCCCTCTGGCTACAGTACCTTCTCCCTGGCTTTCACAGATTTGAAGAATGGTCAAACAGAAGTCCTGGCTTCTGTCTGGATCTACAGGCTCAATGACAAATTTCTAGCAACCAATTAGCCAGTCCTACTGGCCCTGGCTGCTCAAGATCTGGGGTCTGGCTTTCTTTTTTCTACCTTTTGGAAGCATGAAAGCCATATATACAGGTGAGTAAGAGACTTAACTGTGGAGTGAGGGCCCTTTGCCCTACAGCCCAGGGCCAGAAAGCAAAGCTGTGACTCACATACAGCCCAAGTTGATGAGCTGTCCACAGCAGCTGAGGTCTCTAGAGTTACATGAATCACCCAGGTTGGGGTCCGAGGCCAGTAGTATAGGCTGACTCACTGGGAGACCCTGGAAGAGAGTCCACTTTTGTTCTTCCTGTCACTCAGCGCACCCACCTAGAAAGCATGAGTTTCCCCTTAGTATAGGATCTGGGGGAAAGGAGATCAAGGAGTTGATTCTCCATGGCTTCGAGAAAGCTCCGTGGCTAAGCAGTCCTTGCAGGACAGCTTCTCCTAGAAACCTTAGTGTCAGGGAGCCCTGGGGACACAAAGGAGTGAGGGCCTGAGGGGGCTGCTTGCTGGGGGACAGCAGCCTGTGGAAGATGGCTGTGTCTACAGAATGGTGCTGGGGTCAAGTCCTGCTAGAAGTCAGAAACAGGAAATGAGTCCTGGGACTCTAAGTGTGTACAGAAGGGCTGACTATGCCCCTGCCTTCCAGGACTCCACAGGCACACAGCAGGTAATGAAATGTGTAGTTAAGAATGGCTATGACTTTCTGAAAGCCAGAGGCTACATGGTGTCCTTACCTCTACTCTCATGTGCTGGCCCCAGTCTGGCTCATGGCTGGACCCAGAGAAAGGACACATTGGTCACTGGTGCCAGCTACTAATGGGGGCAGGTCAGAACTCCCTCAGACTGGCCTCTGGTAACCCACCTTCCTATGACCTGGAAGTCCAGGACACACAGGGTTTGGGAGGACCACCTGCCATAAGATTTGTGTGTATATATGTCGGGGGAGCTGGTTGCTCTCACCTGTTTCCTCACGTATTCCACCAGCAACTCAAGCTGTCGAGGATCTTCACATTTCTGGTTGAAGAAAGTTCTCCAGAGAGCAGCAGCCAGCCCGTGATCATCTGAAAGGATCCCCTGGAACATAAAGTGTAACAACTGGTCTTCCAGGGAGTACTGTAAAGTCATAACACAAACATTGGAGAAAATGTGATCACAAGAGCAAAGAACTGGCTTAAAATGTCTGTAATCCCAAAACCTTGGGAGGCTGAGGCAGGAGAATTACAAATTCAAGTCCAGTCTAGACAACTTGGTGACTTAAACCCTGTTTTAAATAATAAAAAAACATAGAAAACAGAGCAGGAGATGTAGCTCAATGATAGCCTTGAGTTCAATCCACAGTACTGCTAAATGTACAACTTTCCAGTTGTACAAGTGGAAAGCGTTACAAGAACATGTGATCTAAATCCTTTTTTTGTGTGTGAGGGAGGGTTCCGAGACAAGGTCACACTTTATAGCCCGGCCTGGTCTTGGACTTGTGGCCATCCTCCTTCTTCGGTTCCAGAATGCTGGGATTACAGGTGTGTGCCTCCGTGCCTTGTCCACACCTTCACTTTATATAGAGGAAGAACACGGACCCAGAGGGACCAAGTCAGCGGCTGCAGTGATGCAGAGTTGGGACTCGTCCATGTCTGGTCAACGCTCCCAGTCATGGTTTCTTCTTCTCTACTGCAATGCACCTGGCCCAGGCAAAGTCTGGGAGGCCAAGAAGAGAAATGGAGCAGCAGTGCTTCTGCTGCCATCCACAAGGCATGAGGGTCCACTTCCCCAGCAATGGAGGTGGGTGTGGACTGCTCCTTCTCAACTGGTTCACAGACACATATTTGCAAGGCAGCCAGCTCTTTGGGAAAGAGCCAGGTACCCTTCTTTCACTGTTGCCTGTCTCTGGGCTGGTCATGATTGGTCCAGCCACTGCCTTAGGAGAGGAACAGGCTGTTCAGCAGGATCACTAAGGGCCTCAGAGGGCCACCAAGGGAAATGTTCAGAGCCTGCACATGTCCATGACTGACAGTGCCTCCTCCTGGTACAGGGAACTCTATTGGGAAGCCTGAATGCCACAGAGGCTAATTACAGCCATTTTCTAGCTCAGGTCTCTAGGGGAGGGAAGAGTGAGAGCAACAAGGGAAAGGCCTCAAGAAGTTGCTCTGCCTTGGTAGTGTGCTCTGTCCAAGGTAGCAGAACCGAGGTGCTGACTTGGAGAGTCAGAAGGCTGGATCAAGTCCTAGCGCTGTCACTGCCACTCACTGGTGGTGGCTAAACTTGAGTCTTGGACTTCTCAGCTACTAGAAAGAGATGAAAATACTTGTTTCGCCTACAGCATCCTGAAATTATGAAAATAAGATAATGTGAGCTGGGGGTAAGGCTGAGAGGTAGTGTTTGCCTAGCATGGGTGAGGCCCTAGGTTTAATCCCTAGAACCACACGCGCGCGCGCACACACACACACACACACACACACACAGAGACAGATGTATAAAGGCACTTTAAAGTGTACTATCTTGGCTACAAGAACTAAGGGCATACTTCGGCTGGCAGCTGTGGATACAGTAGAGACAACAGTGGTATCTGGGAGCCAGACAGCCTAGGTTCAGATGCCAGCTCTGGCACTTGATGGCGTGTGGCCCCTGAAAAGCCATTAACCGTTCCTGAGCTTCAGTTTCTCATGAGTTAAACAAATATAATAATCATATCCAACCGGGTTGCTGTCAAGAGACAATGGGTATGGAAGGCTCTGTAAACACTACACAGACATAAGAGCATCTGTTCTGCCTATGCCATGGTCTGGGCTCCTGGGCACTGTGATATATGAGGCCTGCTGCCAGGAAGGGCCATGTCCAGTGTGGGGAGCTGACAATTTGGTTGAAAAGCATTCCCCTTTCCCAGACACCCTCTGCTAAATTCCCGCATGGTCCCACGGCTGAAGACTGTTCGGGCCCCATGGCTGAGTCAGGAAAACCCAGCCTCCCCCAGCAGAGGGCAATGAGGGCCAAGGACAAGCTCCGGCACCTCACCATTCACCAAGCTCTGTGCTAAATAAAAGCCTGCCAGTGTCTGCAGTGCCCTGGGCACAGGCTGGGGTGCTGCTGAGAGCAACCCGTGGGCATGATACGGGAAGGAATATGAGTGGGCAAGGGGGTCACAGGGACCCAAAGAATGTCACAGAGCGCGGGATAAGAAAAACCTGGTCACCATGGCCTTTTCCAAATAGGCAACCTCAGTGGTGGGTGAGATGGCAGGGATGGGGCAAATCCATAAGCAGGAGTCACAGAATAGTCAGACCCAACAGTGTGAATGACCTGCCCACTTGGGACCGCCAGGCTCCTCCACACAGCTGGCTCCGAGACTACATATGGCACAGATATCCTTAACCCAGTCTGAAAGATCAGTATGGAGGTTCAGAGGGTAACGTGCCAACCATAATGGAAGTGGAACCAGTCTGCCCTGCTGAGGTCAGAGGATGGTGATCGCCTAGCTCTGGGCACAACACAATCCCTGGCACACGATGTGAGTGCACTGAAAATGACCAAATCAATAACCAAATCCAGCTGTAGCCTTCTTTCCATCAGACTGCTACTAACTCAGTGGAAATTAATGGGAGTCTAAGAGTGCAAATTTCAAACTAAGAAAGTAGAAAAGGAAAAAGGTTACGGGGAAGCCAAACATTAGGTTGCAAGCCAATTCTGCGACAATGTAATAGGTGCCTACTCACTTTCACTTATGACACAAGAAGCATCTTTCAGGAAATGAAAACCTCTGGTGTGAGAGTAACTGAGAGGAAGGACTGTCCTGGAGCTAGAGGGCCTGGCTATGAGTTGGGTGTAGAATGGCAGAGTTTCACTCAATGAAGACACATTTAACACTATGTGCTTAGCGTGATGCTAGGAACACAGAATCACACTCATGTGGGCTCAGCTCTCAAGGAGCCTGCAATCTAGTGGAAGGGACAAACGTGAGAGTGAACAAATGCTAAACTTCTTGGTGAGACCACAAGCTATGCATTACTCTCCTCATTCTACAGAGAGACCTCCCCCACCATACTAAGTCACTCCCGTTATTCTCCATCACTACACTCTTCGTAATTAGACATTTATTTGCTTGTTTACTCTCTGTCTCTCAACTGAAAGGTAAGTTGAGTGGGAAAGAAACTGACCCTGCTTGCGTGGTTCACCAATATTCCCAATCTGTTAAATGGACAGAAGAATGGATGGGAATTGAAATGTGGAGAAAAAAACACAAGAGACCGAGAGAGGTCATGGAAAGCTGTGTGGAAAAGTGGGCTTTTGGGGCTGGGGATTTAGCTCAGTGATTCCACTGCCTGCCTCGCAAGCACAAGGTCCCAAGTTCAATCCCAAAAAAAGAAAAAAAGAGAGAGAAGTGGGCTTTAAAAATGGAGAGGAGAGCTGGGCATGGTGATGCACTCCTGTAATCCCAGCACTTGAGAGGCTAAAGCAGAAGGATCACTGTGAGTTTAAGGCCAGTCTTCAAAGGTAGGCAAGAGGAAATAAAGGTAGCAAGCACATGTAACAATGGGAAGACCTCAATTCCATATTCCATATTTCAGTTTGAGCCTCACGACAGAAAAACAGGAAGGCTCCAACAGTGTCCAGGGAGGGGAAACAACCCAAGCAAGAGTGTAGGAAAAGACTGCTGTGGAACAGTGCTGTCTAAGAGAACTTTCCGTGATGAAGGATGCTCTGTGTCTGGATGTAGCTGTGTGCAGAGGTGTCTAGCCATATGTAGTCAACGTGTGCCTGAATTATGACCACCACAAATGAGGAACTGAATTTTAAATTTTACTTAATTTAAGTAAAAATAATGGCACGCAGCTAGTATTGGATACCTCTAGACCCTTTTGACTCCAAAAATGGTCTGCAGAATGCAAAATCTAGGACCCCATTCCAGACTCACTGAATCCAAATCTAGATTTTTGTTGGTCATTTCAAACATTTAAGAAGAAAAAAAATAAAAAGAAGGTTCCTCCCCAAACGTAATAGACAAAAATATTTCATTTCGGGCCGGGGAATTAGCTCAGTGGTTCTGCTGCCTGCCTCGCAAGCACAAGGACCCGAGTTCGATCCCCGGTACCAAAAAAATTTAAGAAAAACTGTTCTGGAATTACATATTTAAATTACCTGAGATCTTTTACAATTACAGATACCTACCCACACCAATTAAATCAGAAACTTTGGGGCACAAGGCCAAAGCAGCACCGATACTTCTAGAAATATGTCCCATGCAATTAGCATATTTCCAAACTTCCCTCTCTTAAGTGTCACCCGGGGTGCCTGGTGAAGCACCGGGCAGAACTCCCACTGAACTGGAAGCTTCAGAGGTACTGAGGAATCGAGCAATCTGAAAAGCACTCTTCTTGTGAGATTCTTGTGATGGGGAACGTGCACGTCCAATGGCTCTGCCAGAAGGGCCTGGGATGGGGGATGGAGAGCAGACACATCCAACACCCTTTTAGTAATCCTCATCACAGAGTCAACTGAACCCACAGCTGCAATAGAGACCACAAACAAATGCCAATACAGAGTTGTACTTCTTCAATGCTAGGCCTCATTACTTTATACACTGTAAGGTTTCTCAAATCAAAATGTAATCAGTCAATGTAAATATCAGATTCACCAATACGTTCCCAATGTAAATACCAAAACATGGATGAACCCTGTTGAGATCATGCTAAGTGATACAAGCCAGTCACAAAAGAACAGATACTGGGGGCCAGGGGTTTAGCTCAGTGGTGCCACTGCCTGCCTTGCAAGCGCAAGGTCCTCAGTTCAATTCCCAGTTTCAAAAAAAAATTTTTTTTATAGAGACAAATAGGAAAATGATGTTTGCCAGGGGCTGGGAATATATTCACAGACTATGTACACCACAACCTGGGTGAACACAGATGAAGCTGGGGGAAAATAATGGCTGCCAGAGGCAGGGGAAAGGAGAGCATGGGGAGTTAATGTTCATTCAGTTTAGGAAGATGGAAACAAAAGAATATACATACACACACAAAATTTATCAATTTAACTATGTTTTGTTTTGGAGACAGGGTCTCATTATGTAGTTCAGGCTGGCCTTGAGCTAACTACGTTGCCCAGGCTGGCCTCAAACTTCCACTGATCCTCCTGCCTCTCTCTGCCTCCAGAGTGCAGAGATCACAGGCGTGTGTCACCAAACTCAGCTGTTATACAGATATATTTTACAATACAAAAGATGAGATGGATCTATATGTTATGAAGTGGAAGAACTCTCAAGATACACTGTTCAGTGAACAAAAAGCAAGTCAAAGAATAGTGTACACATAGCACAATTCCCATTTGCATAATGAAGGAAAAACCAGATGCATGTCTATGCGCAAGTAACATCTGAAGGACAACCAATAAACTAGGAGTGAAGTTTTATTCTAGGGCAGGGAAGCAAACAGGCCCCCCCATCCCTGCCTTTCCTCCCTTCTTCTCTTTTCCTTTTCCCCGCCCCTCTCCTTTCCTCCTCCTTCCCTCTCCCTCTCCCCTATCCCTCCACCTCTCTTTCTTGGTCAAACTCAGAGCCTCACACAAGCAAGAATTTTATCAGTGTATACCCAGCCCTGGGCCTTCTAGTTTTCATTTCAACCACCTGTGTAGTGTTATGAACTTTTTAAATGAATATGTATTGCTTTTACACTTAAAGCCAAAGACGTGTGTAATTTGCCTGGCAGATTCTGCTGTTTACATGTCAATGTCTTCCTCTCTCGGGGAGCAGCTGGGGCTGAGACAGTGATTTGCCTTTGTCGCTCTATCCAGCACCCAGCAGGCACTCAACAAATGCTGACTTGTTGAATGATCTGACCACATTATGTAGTGCTCTCCCAAATACTAGCAAACTAGTCAGAGAAAACAGAAGTACATATCAAGCCATCATGTATAATGCATAGAGTAACGATAGTCCTGGACGCTTCCTTCAGATGCTATTATCAAATGTCTTTGTTCGAGGAGCCATTGTCATGCCTAAGGCTTGGCAAATGATCTTACCTCATCATATCCCAAGATTGCTGCATAGAAATTATTTGTCATGAGGATCATGTTCTTCTTCAGGACATAGGGATTAACCTACAAAAACAAAGAGCAAAAACAAAGGTATTAAAGAAAGGAAAAAACCAAAAAGTAGGTTCTTTGGCTCCAAGTTGTTGCAGACTTAAAAGAACAAAGAGAAAGAAACTCTTACAAGTCAAACTGCCAGTTCATTCCCAATTCCCGCATCTGTCAAGATTCTCACTGATTTGCCAACTTCTTTTAGATTTTTGTCTCAAACTACACAATGCAGTTAGTTTAATTAATTGATGTCCAGCTACATGTCTGTTTTTGTGCTGGATGCTATGAAGGCAAGCATAAGAAATAGTGTTCCAGTCAAAGCAGTCCATAGTCTAGTGTGGGAAAATAGGCATTTATACAAATTGCTGCAACTGAGCATGTAGTAGATGCCTGTAATCCCAGCACTCTGGGAGGCTGGAGCAGAAAGATCCTAAATTCAAGCCCAGCCTGGGCAACATAGTGACTTAGTGAAACCCTGTCTCAAATAAAAATAAAAATGGCTGGGGATGTAGCTCAGAAGCCCCTGGATTAAATCCCCAGTACCACAATAAACAAACAAACAAACATTTTAAAATTACTGTAACTTACTGCCTCAAACCCTATTCCGAATGTGCTAGGAAACAAGTGAATTTCAGTGTGGGCAAAAGGTGCTCTAGGAAATAATCCTTAAGCGGAACTGGGAGAAGAGTCTAACAGGAGAGGGGAAGACTGAGGAGAGAGCATCTGAGATGGAGGGAATGAGGTGTGCGGAGGTGAACAGCCGGAAAAAGGACACATGGGGAGCACTGGGGAGGGTGAACAGGGAGGACCCCTGGGAAGCTATGCTGACATTAGGTTGGCAAATGTCTCAAGGGCTGCTCCAAAGAGCTTGTTGTGGAAAGACAAAAAGAAGGAAGTTGTCAGAAGTGGGAAGACAAAGCAGAAGAGCAGGAAGAATGAGAGGAGCAACTCAGAAGTAGTCAGACTGCACGCTGAGATGGCTTTTAGAAATTCAGTTCCTGTGAGATTGTGGAAACCCTGGTAGACTCCTCTTAGGTAACGGGCAGGAGCACCTGCAGAGCCTGAAGTATGGTTCATCTTCAAAAGAAATGTCGACCTTTGAGCAAATTTCCATATGCTGCACGATCCAAAGTTTAATCTTCTCTGGGATCCCAGCAGAAAGCCCAGGGCAGGACAAAACACAGAGTAAAGACTCACTATTTAACCCGACAGGTTTTAGAAAATGCCAAACATTATTTTGAACTTTCTATGGAGAATAAGACTTGTGCTTAACAACCCTCTCTACATCCACACCCACCATCATTTACATTTATCGAGCACTCGCAAGGGGTCAAGTGCTTTATGGACATCATCTCCTCTAACCTGCACCAGAACTCAGAGAGGTAGACATGTTAGTCACCTGTAGGCGACTGGCTGACTGAGAGACTCAGGGAGGTGAGTCTGGATCACACAGCAAACTAGTGATAAAGTTGAGATCAGCATCCAGATCATTCTGAATCCGAAGTCCATGCTCCTTATATTCCACAGGTTCCTGCATCCCAGAGGATAATTTTACTTTGGATTGTAATTTAAATACTAAGTGATTTAATCTTGTGGTTCATAACTAGTCTCTGAAGAAGAGCAGAAAAGTAAAAAAATTTAGCCAGAAAACCTGGGATCAAGCCATAGTTCTTCTAGGTACAAGATGTTATCAAGCAAGTCAAATAACCTTTCTGAGCCTATTTTGTTGCCTTTTAAATGCCCCAGACACAAGGCTGTCTTCAAGAGCCAATAAGTTAGTTATGTATCCACTCACTAATTTAACAACATATGCTGAAAGCCTTGATAAACTGCACAGTACTCTACAAATGCAAGGAATTATGAGTAATACCTTCTGGTTTGTTTATATAAAACTAAAACCAGTTCCAATAGTTTATGGTCATGGATAATTTTCAAAAATGAAAACAGAATTGTGAAGCTCAAAGGCTGGAAAATGTGAAATTGGTGGTAGATGGGGGGGGTAACCTAGAACACAACAACCATCTATCTTTTGTGTTCCCACAACTCCATGCAAGCTTCTCCCCTAGGTACAAAACATGGTTTAAAGTCACTTAAAGGCCTGCCTCTCTCACCAGTTTGGGAACCACTCAAGAGTACAGGTACTCTGACTGATTAATCACAGCACTCCAACACCTGGTCCAGGGCCTGGCCTACAGCAGGGGATAGGACAGGCATGCTACCTGAATCCTTACAAGGGCACCATTCCTAACCTATGTCCAACGACAACGCTTGTTTTGGGGCTTTTTGTTGTTGAACATCTCCGATGTTTCTGAAATTTCAGAAGCATATACTGCCAAACATCCATCAAAACCATCTTCCATCTGGGTTGGACTGAAAGAAGAGTCAAGAAATAAGCCAGAGGGAGTTTATCCCTTCTGTCATGTGAGGCTTCAACACAGACCTCTTGGGAACCATTTTGGGCTCTCTCTACTCCCACACCAGTTGTTCTCCTAACTGAGAGAAAGACCAGAGCCACAAAAGCATGACATCAGGGGTGTCAAACACTAAGGCAGGAGCACCTCTCCAAGGAAAGCATTCACCGAAGCTGCCTCAGTAGAGCGAGCTTCCTGCGGCATCATGCCATAAGCTCTATAGCTGAAATAGCGCTCACAGATCCCCGAGGAAATGGTGAACTGAGGGTCTAAAAGGAGGAAGAGACTTGTCCAAGGTCACACCAAGTTACTGTCAGAGCCAGGATCAGAATCCAATTTCTGGGCAAATACTTTTCCTACTTCATCATCTGCAGGGTATTTCCAAAGATCACCAACACATTTATAATCAGTTCTTGCCTTCCAGCAAGGGCCAAATATGTACAAACTCATTTTTTCTCTTGGGATGCACCTGCATCCTGGCTGGCTGCTGCCCAGGAAGAACGAAGTGGAGCTCCTTATTAGCAAGTCCCCTCTGCCTCCTGACTAACTCCAGTGACCTGTAAGCTCTCAACCTCTAGTTGAATGACGGCAAGCTACCTTAGCCAGGAATGGTTTTCAGATATCATCACCCGCACTGGATTAGCTCATGAAAAAGGGCCCTTCCTGGAAGAGAGTGGAACCTCAATCAGTGCAGACAGAGGATCTGCAGGCAACAGGTGAGGGTAAATGACAACAGTTCCCTCCATTACTGGACTCAACCCACTGGGCCCTTCCAGCCAGGCAGCAACCAAGAGGAGCTGGACATACTCTTTGGTGAGCCCTTATTGGGTTTTACTCCTTCACATCAGCTTGTGAGCTGGTGTGAAGGTTTCCTGATTCCCCAGTGCCAGATCATCCTATATGGAGCACCCTTCCTGTGAATGCACAGATGCCCCCAACAGAAGAGAAACTCCTCCCAGATAGAGTTGGGCCATTTTCTTATAAAGACTTATCCTTTCCATAATGCTTTGCTTTTATAAAAACCCATACATACTGTACAACCACATGGGAAAAGTTCCTTTTATATCAGTTACTCATATTTTCCCATTTATTTAAGCTATTAAAATTCATGCAGATATTTTATAAGCCACCAGGATTCACAACTGGTATTACTGAATGTTTAATAATAAGCTAAACAGAAGAAATCAGAGGGTTAAATGATGACTGCAATTCCTGTAATGACTTAATTAAATTTTTATGGAGTACATAAACTATGATGTCATTTCTAGCCAACCATGGCTCTGCTTGCCCAGGATGTCACAGGGTGGGAGCACTCAATAGGAGACGAGGCTAAATGAGCAGCAGGTCTCTGCTGAAATGGGGAGGGGAGAAGGCTCATGTAACACACTCAATAAATTATCCGTTCATTTTTAAACAAAGTCCATGAGTTATAATATATTTGCCATGCACTTTTTATGACATAATAAAAATGTTACCTTAAGGATTACTTAACACATACTACAAATGTTATAGCAGAGGCAGGCACAAGGGGCAAAGAAAACAAACATGAGCAGGCCAGGGACAGGTCCTGGAGTTTATGTCCCGGGGGAACAGCACAATATATTAAAAAGGGAATGCAAAAGGGGGGTGCAAGAGTTCAGGGTTACTCATCAGCAGATTAATGAATGAGACAACCAACGGGGAGCACAGGCAATAACGAATCTTGCAAGCAGCATGTTTAATTAACGTAGTATTTTCAAGGAGGAATATTAGCTTTAAAGAGATGCCAGTTCATCTGAGGCCAAATCACTGCTCTCTTTCCTTTCTCCACCATTGTGGCTGTTAAAAACATTTATGTGACTGCTTAACGGAGGAACCAGACTATGCAGATATAGGGCCTAATGGGAGACCAAGCTCTCACTCTTCTGTGAGCTGCTCCTGGTCATCTTTCCTGCTTCGCCTCCTCTTGCCTGCCCACTTTCATTCATCTCCTGGCACAGGCAACCCTGTGCCTTCTCCAGCTGGGAATCCTCGACTCCAGAAACTCTTTCTTATCTTCTAAGATCTATCTCACATATTACATTCTCTACAGAGCTTCTCTTCTCTCCCATTACAGGTACTACAAAAGTGTCTCATAATTGACTGTTTGTCAAGTGCCAAGAACTATGCCAAGAGCTTTCTGCATATTAGCTCACTTAATCCCCTCTGATGAATCTATGAAATTTGTATTGTCTGTCTTTCTCTCTCTCCTCTCTCTCTCTCCCCCTCCCTCCCTCCCTCTCTCTCTGTACTAGGGATCGAACTCGGGACCTTGAGGTTGTGAGGCAGGCGGTGGAACCACTGAGCTAAATCCCCAGCCCCATTATATCCACTTCAAAGAGGAAATTGATATGTGGGAAAAGTTAAAGCTACACAGCTAGAAACACTGGAGTCAAGGGTCATGGGGGCAAATGCCCATAATCCCAGCACTCAGAAGGTTAAAGCAGAAGACTCACTGTGAGTACTCAGTTCAAGGCCAATCTGAACTACATAGCTAGACCCTGACTCAAATAAAAAAACAAACAACAAACAGCTACTAGAGTGAAGATTATTGCATAGCTGGGTGTGGTTGAGCACTCATGTAATCCT